TGGTAATTTTGTTGAGCAATGAATTATACTGAAAATTTAGTTTTTGTGATTCTATGAGCTAAGTACTTCTTTGCTAGGATTATTGTTGGAACCAAGATTGTAAGAATGATAACTAATTTTTGAATTGCTTAAGCTTTTATTCTTGTTCATCCATGTGTGTTTACTACTTATTTCTATTTTTAACTGGCCATCAAGTATAGGATACAAGACTGAGATTAATACTGAAAATGTTCATTTGAGTTGGATCTAACATGAATGATGCAAGTTTAATATTCTTGTTTAAGTTTGTTGATTTGTGAATGATATAGGAATATATTATTCATCTTGTATAACTCATTGAAACTGGTGCTGAGATCTGCATTATGAGAATTATATTCACATAGGAATATACTTAAAATGATTTGAAGAAGCTTAGTCATAATTAATTCAAAAAAAAAAATTATATAAAAATTAAGGCCTCGTTCACTTCGCGGATTTGAGTTTTCAATTCGAGTTGAGATTTGACATTTTCTGAAAGTTTTTCACTGTAGGAGAAAAAGTTAGATTTGACATTTTCTGAGAGCTTTTTACTGTAAAAACCTAAAATTAAAAACTCGAATCGGTGAAATGAACGAGACATAAATTTTAATTAACAAGTGTAATTATATTATGGCATTTTCTGCATCATTTTTTTTGCGAGACTTACAACTAAAAGAAAATTAATAATCCTAGCTCATTCAGTTGCTAATTTAAAAAGCTCAACATGAAATTCTTGCTTCTAGTTATTCTTACTTGCATTTATTTTGTACTTTTTCCTTACATCACTTAGTGAACTTTTATTTGATAAATTCTTTTAATTAATTTAAGACTTGCATGATTTTTATATTGTATTTTTAGGTCTCATTTACTTCGTAGATTTGAGTTTTTAATTTGAGTTGAGCCGTAATATTTTCTGAGAGCTTTTCACTATAATAAAAAATTTTAATGTGATATTTTTTAAAAATTTTTTACTGTAAAAATTTAAAATTAAAAACTTAAATCGTTGAAATGAACGAGACCTCAATCATATAATATGTATAAGAACGATATCCGTACTTACACTTGCGCAACAATACGCCATAGATAAGACTAGTAGGGAACACTATCATTTCTTTGGTGGACAAAAATTGTACGTTAATATTGGCAGACAAAATTGCTGACCTAAATCGAAGAGTGCTTTCTTCTGAAACACTTCGTACGGGCATATAATATGCATGGCAGTATAAACATATATAGCGTGCTCTGTTTTCGAAAAATATAACTGTGTTGTTTACTTCAGGCGTAATTCATTATATTTTTGAGTTATGGTAACTTAAATATAGATTTTAAATTAAATTTAAATTATAATTTAAATTGAAGTTATAATTTGAGTTTATATTTAATTGTGTATATTTAAATTATAGTTTGAGATGATAATTTTTTTAAATTTATATTTAGGTATATCAAAATTTGAGTTTGTATTTAGATAATACTTTAATAAAAATTCAATGATGATAGAAAATTTTAATAGGGTATATGAGTGGTTTTATTTGTCTTTTCGTTGTAAACGCATAAAAAAAGAATCATCTCAATCGGAATTAAAATAAAAAAGTTATAGCGTTTTTAAGAATAGAAAAAATATTATTCATTAACTTAAGTTTGAGTTTAAGAACTTGAGTTGAAGAGGAAACTCGAACTCATATTTTAACCCCAAATTTAAGTTAAAATTTAAATTAAAACTCAAATTTAAACTCAAATTTTACAAAAAAATATGATATTAAATAAAATTATAATTTGAGTTCAATTTTTTTTTTAATTTGGTACAAACGAACAAATCTTTATTCTTTGGCAGTACAATACTGGAGTGAGTGATTAGTGGATGTACGTTAGTTTACTCCTTTACCAACAAACAAAGAAATAGATTTTTTTTTAGGGTGAAAAAAAGAGTCACCTCTCTAGTAAACACACGCATTTATGATAAAATAAGAGAGTCATTCCGCGTTTTTTATTATCTTTAACATCGTTTTTTTTTTTTTTTTTTTTATAAAAAAAATCGATGTTAAAAATGACCACATCCCTCCTTTTAATATGACTAAACTAATTGATGCATCAACTTTTCAGTTTTATGTTAACATGCATGTATTCAAGCGGAAAAAAATGTTTAACATTCCTCATGCAAGTATCTTTCATGAGACGTTTAGTTAGAAGATTCAAACTATGATTTAAATTATGATTCATGATTCACTATAATATTTTCTCTCATAAAAAATACACATAAATTAAAAATAATTTTAATAACATGATTCTAATATATGAACCAGACGCCTCCTTAGTAAAAAAAAAAACGTAATAAATAAAATAAGTAAATGTACATGTGTCTTTCAGGGAGAAAAAAAAAAGAAGTTAACATGCATGTATATGCTTCTGGCTATCAACTTTCTGGGATTTGGAGAGAGAAAAATGTACGATCTGGTACGCAACAGATTCATATGCATTCGGACATAATCCATAATATAGATTATATATAGATAATTACTTGTGTTAACTTATAGCCAAACAAGTGTTTTCATGACTAAAAAAACAACAGATTCACATGCATTCGGGCATAATTCATAATATAAATTATGGATAATTAAGAGTCCGTTCATTGCTATAGTAAAAAGTTATCAGAAATAATCACATTTAATTTTTTTATTACAGTAAAAAATTCTAATATAAAATTATATATCAACTCGAATTAAAAACTCGAATCGGCGAACTAAACGGATATTAATTGTGTTGACTTGTAACCAACCGTAATGTGTTTTCAGGACTAAAAAGAATATCTGTTGTCACTAGAAAAGTATGTTAGTTGAATTAAAAAATAAAGCCAAGAATCGATAAATCTACCGGCAAAAGTATCTTAGTTGAATCTGTTGTCTACTGAATTGTAAACATTTGTCATTTCAAAAAAAAAAAAAAGATATTGTGAACATTTGTTCCAGAATTACTTTTCTAGTAGTTAACTCACTAAATTGACAAAAAAAAAAAAAAAAAAAAAAAAAAAAAATAACTCTAAACTCTAATCCACCAGTGGGAATTAAATTTTTGACGATATAGTTATAACTTTTGGCACCTCCTTTTTTTTTCCCTCTAAATTTCTCATAATTTGACGATATCAATTTTAGATCCTGCTTCTTTCAGCTCCTTTGGCGTTAATCTTTGCTTGGCAGTCATTTATTGTTGCTTTTGTATTAGGTTTTATTGCTAGTTCTTTTTGTGAGCCCTCTCGATCAGGGACTTTTTTTCCCCCTTCTCGTTTGAGATTTTTAGAACATTTTTGTAATATTCCCAAATTTTCTTTTCTTATAAATTAGAGTGGGGAGCTTAAGAGAAAATAGGTGGTCTAGTAGGTATCAACCTAATATTCTATGTACTCTCTTGATGCTAGTTTTCCTCTCTCAGCTCCTATATATATATATATATGCACCTTTTATCCTTAAATTAATTTTTATTATTTACTTTGGCCATTTAGTCTGTATATTATTCCAAGAATTCTCTAAAATTTATTGCTCACTAAAAGCATCTCCAAATGCAATTTCCTCAATGTTAGTGCATTTTGTGTTGGCTTATTTTTGACAAATTGGTTGTAATGTATTCTAAAATAGGCATTTGCTCATTTTACTTAGTTGACCTTCACTGGAGCATTATGGCTGGTTAATCTAAGGAAAGAATCATGAGAATTATGGTCTCCTTGCTGTCATTGGGGCTGGTGGGTTTATTTTGTGATTCATGGATGAGATATTACCTTTATTGGTTGTGGTTATCGTTGACAATTTATGGTTGGTGATCTACAGATTTGCAAAAGGGTGAATTAGTGTGCAGGAAGGCGGAATGTGTTGTGTAGACACATGACTGAAAACATGAGAGATATTTTGAGTTCATGTGAGAGGTTTTGAATGAAATATTCTGCAGCAAAAGGTTGCTTTGGTGCTCGTTGAGTGAAAAAAACAAAAGGTGGTTCTTCGGGAGAAGAACATATTGCTTTCGGGAGAAAGTTTTCAAAGACGAGTAGTGCTATCTGGACAAGGTCACTAAGAAGATTTTCTACAGCGGTGACAACATCAAGGAGGGAGTCTTTGAGTGTGTAAGACCGATTGGTGTTTGTAATCTCTTTATCTTAGTAGATTGTTCACTATCTAGGCGTGGCCCTGCAGAGTAGGTGTGCGCACCGAATTGCTATATTATTTTCTGGTGTCCTTTATATTTCTGCATTATTTTCCTGCATTGTTGTTTTGCTGGTTTAATTTCAAAGAAAAAATATATCAATTTGCACGTATCTGTCATCAGTGTTACAACTAGTGTTATAACACTCTTTGTGACACCGACCGAAAAACGGACCTAACACTCCATATGAGTTTTAGGATAGTAAAACTTTGGTGATCCTAAACGCATTGAGTTTTGTAGAGGATGAATTCTACAATCAAAGCAATATTCATTTTTTTTTATCATCGATCGGGAATTGGCAAATCGATTTGGTCTCTTGTCACCAATCAAATTTTAGAACAGGAAAGTAAAGTACATAAACATAAATGAGTATATGAATTTATAGTAATTCACTTTTAATGTGAAGGCTACGCTACTGTATGGTCTTAAGGTTTCACTATATATGAAAAAATTACCACTACAATGGAGAAAAAGAAAGGGAGAGAATAGGATAAGGAGATTTAGAAAGAGAATCTAGAGAGAGATTCTGAGCGGAGTGAATGATGTAAAATTCATGGTATCGATCTCCTGTTTATTATAACTCATGATATCAATTTCATGTACTTATTGAGAAGCTCTCATTTTCACTTGGATGCATTAAGGAGCCGCTCAACATCAATTAATTAAAGCTTATAATATCTTTGCAGGATATATATATATATATATATATATAGTACAATCTATAAGTATGAAATTAATTGAGGAGTACAGATTTGCAAGAATAACATCTAGAACTACTCATAATAATAAAAGTCTTACTTGATTTTATAGACCATTACTTACAAGTTACAAGTACTACATGATTTTACAACACATAAACTAGATAGTAGTTGAACTATAATTATAATATGATCAATAGTTCTTAAAATCCTAATTGCCTCAGAACGTAGTGTTATTGGTAGAAGTAGTAGTCCATGCCATCATCATAGAATGAAAGATGTGAGGATGAAGTTCCCCCATCCCCAAAGCATGTTGAATACTGATCGTCATTTTGGCTGGACAGAAACGGCTGAGTCCAGAAATCCGATCCGGCGGTGTAGTACTCTTGATAAAATGCTTCCAATGATGAAGATTGATAATTATTGTTTTCAGAGGGATAGTCTGTATAAGATTGAGAAGAATAGGCGTGACTGATGAAAAGAGAGGATCCACTGGTATCAGTACTTGTGTCTGTGGGAGACTGAGAACTCTCGAGAATCGGCACCGCCGGAGAGACTACTTCAGCGCCGTGATCATGATTATCCAATATATGACTATGATTAATGCTACTCTCAGCTTCTGACGTTTCTCCGTTATTGCTGTGGCACAGCTGTGAAGACTCATCACAAGATCGATCTAATTCTCTTAATTGAGATTTTGTTGGCGTTTTATTATGAGTTTTGCGCTTCTTTAGGCGAGTGTGCCAATAGTTCTTTATTTCATTGTCGGTTCTTCCTGGTAAATTTGCAGCAATCAAGGACCATCTGCGATGTAATTAGAGGAATTTGATAACTATTTCCACGGTTAACTTAATTATCCAACAATTAGAAGTACAAGTACTCAATTATTGAAAAAAAATAACGAAAAGGGATAAAATGATATCAGAGTCAACTACAACATCTCAACTACAATTAGAAACATCGCAACTACAATTAGTTTTATGTTGTTATTATTATTATTATTATTATTTGAATGAATACCGCCTCAACTGAGGCTTATATTATTAGAGAAAAGAAAAAAGAACAAACTACAAAACACTTCAAAAATTAAGTAAATCTGTAAAATGGTAAACCTATATAATCTCTATACACATAAAACTCTAAAAAACTAGGACAATTAGACCACCACATCCACATACAATTAATAATCTTAAGATTAGCAAACTTATCAGCACATCCGTTAGTTTCACGATACACATAGCTTTACGTTATGAATTAACCCTAGATTTGACAGATAAATTATGACCATGAAAATTAATTTCATAGCCTCCAAGATGCACAAGAACTAGTGCAAATATAGTAGTACTGTTGCAAAGCTTATGATATTGAAGAGGGGATGAAAGTGTTTGATTTATATTATAAATTTCTTACTTATTTCCATGTTCTTCATGTAACTTGATGATCAAACTTTCTTCTTCGGCCGTATAATTCCCACGTCTGACATCTGGTCGAAGGTAGTTCATCCATCGGAGTCGGCAACTCTTCCCACACCTTTGTAGGCCTATATGATTAATTCAAAACCGGTCAGATAGAATTATTGTTACACTTGTTCTTCACTAATCTATTTTATGTGATTTAATTCGAAAAATGAAATCAATTAAATAAATACTCGAGTTTGGGTAATTCGATAATCAAATAGCGCTCCGATGAATTCAGATGAGCATCAAGTATAATTATAAAAAGGGGATGAGCTAACTATGATTTTTTTTTTTTTTTGGAAAATATCTGATTTAATTTCACAGCTTTCTGATCATATCTCTAACGAAATCGTCATAAAATAAGGATTAGAAAAAAAAACAAAAAAAAAAACCCATTTTTAATTTCGGAACTTATTAGCAAGAGACATAATTAATCTTTTCATTAGGTGATAATCATATAACTAATTAAGTCTACTTTGAAAACTCGAGTGTACATGTATTTTTACCAGCATATTTGGGAAGTTCACGCCAGTTCCAGTAGCCATATCTTTCAACATAAGCTCTCAACTTATCGTCTTCTTCAGAACTCCATGCGCCTCTCTTGATTCCATTTTCGTCATAAAATGGAGCTCTCACCATCTCGAACTCTGTCTCTGTACTCCTACTCTCTCACTCGGACATAAAAAAAGAAAAAAAAAACTGATTTTAATTAGTTTCTTACTGATCTATCAGTGATTCTTCTTCTTTCGATATGTTTAATTTGTAGGTTGAGCATCAAACGTGCATATATATTTATATATGTGTGTGTGAATATATATGTATTATTCACACACACACATATATATATATATATATATATATATATATATATATATATATATATATATATAACTTCATTTTACCTTTAAAAAACATCCACGTTTGGATTGAAATAGAGAAAAAAAAAGTATATATATTTTATGCAATGAGGGGCCCTAATAGAAAAAGCAATGAACATATATGTCTTTAGTGATAAAATAATACCAAATATAACAATAAGGCACAGTGTACAAGTGTCACGTGAAACGCGACATAGTTGTCAATTGAAAGGTAAAGTGCTCCACTTTTGTTTGTATTGCATTTCTTCTATAGTCCTGATTATTTAGATAGTCTACTGTAGCTTATATTTTAGGAATTAACATTCTTCACGTACTAATAGTTAATTGCCACCATATCCCTGGGGATATATGAGAGAATATTTAGTATGATTTTCTTATTTACACGTGCAAGTTTTTTTTTTTTTTTTATAGAGGGCTGAATATATTTCAATTCATTTTATATGAATACATAATCCGCCAAATTTTTGTGATACAAAATGGCAAATATTCTTTGATTTTTTTTTTTTTTTTTGTGGCAGCTATTATTATTATTTTGAGTTTTTCTTTTTTGTCGTCAAGAGGACTTTCGGTACTAATTTTCTGGAGTGAGCGAGTACTTTGATAACGGAATTGTATAGCACATTATTTAAGGTCAAAAGGACATTTTAATTAAAAAGCAAAAGACAAAAAAGGATATATTTCAATTATGAGAAAAATTATGGAGCTCTCTCTTTCTTTTCTAATTTCCTGCTTTCTTTTTCTCTTTTAAGTGGGGGTGGAGTTTTGAGGGTTTTGAGGGGGGAATCTAAGGAGCGCCTATGCAGTGTTGTGTCTCCGGATTGGTTTTAGATACCATATGTTAAAGCTTTGTTTTGACGTTTTTAGCAGTAAATACTAGTATTAAACAGATTCCTACATTTCTTTGCCCTTTATTCTTGCCATTTTCACATTCCAAAATGGTACATAATAATGACTATTAAAACAAAAAAAAAGGGATTGAAGATGATCTATACATACTTACAAACATACATACATACATATATATATATATATATATATATATATATATATAAAAAAATAGAAAAAAGACAACAGGGATAAAAGCATATCTCCATTATGGACATTCTGTAACCTTAATTATTCTCTTACTCTTTTAGGACGAAAAGAGACGACATTAATAAATTTTGTGTTCACACCTTATCTTATTTCAAATTTTGGCTTATGTCCCCAATCGACATAATTCGTCCTCAACCCATGAAAATTGTTTGCTTGATTTGGCTTTTTTTTTTTCATTCACTTTAAATCTCCCAAGATAACTTATTGTTAGGAAAATTGGGTATTTTCCCACTCCAAATTAACTTTATCGTAAACAGTATTTGTGAATAGTACCTATTGTGCCAAACGTCAAATTAAACAAATTCAAAACTAAATATGAATAATAGAAAAATCCAATAGATAAAAGGATTTAACGTGGTTCGGCTTTTAGCCTACGTCCACGAACAGAAACGGCGAAGAAATTCGACTATAACCAAAGGAGATTACAAAAGCTTGTCAAATATCTCTCACCACCGAAATCCCGAATACACCTAAAATCTCTCAACCCAAAATTAAAAATACTAAATATCAAAGAATTAAATTATCTAACCAAATCTCACTCAAAAGAAACAAAGGAGAGACCAATATGTATCAATAGAAAAATACACACATGTTGCTGCCAGTACTCCTCATGCGTGGCTCTGTCCTCTCACGTTCATGTCGCCAGCATACATATATATGCTCCCAAAAACACAAAGTCGACAGCACCTAATTGATAGGTAAATAAGAGAGCATGGGCGTTGGGGCCAATCACAAATTAACATGTTTGTGAGCTTAATTTAAGCCACATGCCTAATAATCTCCACCTTAATGAAAAATTAAGCCAAGCCCAAGTAATGAAACTCCTCCGCCATCTCCTCCAAAATCTCATGGGATAAATTCCAATTTGCAACACCAAATAAGTCCAAGCGATGCCTGAACTTCCAAACAGCAACCAACTTGATCACCGAACTTGTCACAACTAATGCAATACAAACCAGATTGTCAAGCTATACTTGCTCACGAACACCGGGATCTTTATCTGCAACTACTAACTCTCTGTCTTCAAATAGGATGATAAAATCATCAACTCTGTGAATTATCAAACTTGGTGACTTTGGCTCAACAAACCACAACCAATAGCTGTTCACCCCAAACGCAAATCCTAGGAATGTTTTTGTCCTTCGCTCAAGCTTACCATCATTCACATGAGCACAAACAGAACAACCAAATCTCAAAACAAAATCAACAGAGCAACCAAACCGTACCTCAAACGGAGTCTTCAATCCAAATGCAGTTGATGGAGATCTAACCAAATAGCAGGCTAGAAAACCCAACTCAGAAAGCAAAAAGTAAGCTTTCCCCAAGAGAGTTGAATTCATACTATTTGTGACTAACAATTGTTGTGACAAATCCTAAATAGTGCCGTGCCTCACAATCTTCTTCTTGTAGAACCCGTAACTCTCACCAAATTGAACACCATTATAGTCATCAACAAACGTCAAAATTGACATCCCCACATCACTCACATGACCCGAATGTAAATGCCATGAACGAGTGATCCTTAAATCTGGATCTAAGCAAGATGAGACCGCAGTAGCACCAACAATTGTACTACCCTACAAAAAATAGAGGCCATTATGCAACTCTCCCTTAATCACCACAGAAGCTCCCTTACTAACTCTTTGAACTCCACCTTTAGCAGAATTCTTATAATCATGTGAGTCGAGTGTCCCCAGAGAAACAAGACTTTTTTTTAAATCTGACACATGTCTAACATCAGTCAAAGTCGTAACTCTACCATCAAACATCTTAATTTTGACTACTCTAACACCAGTAACTCTACAGGACATGTTATTCCCCATAAAGATAACACCCACATCAATTGACTGGTAGTCAATAAACCAATCTCTATTAGGGTACATATGTTGAGAACATCCAGAATCAAGAATCCAAGAATTACCTACGCAATTACCAGACACAGATAGAACATAATCATTATTTTCAAAAAAAACTCAACAATATTAGCTGATGCTTCTTCACCAATTTCCTTATCCCTTGAGCTTTAGGCAATCAAGTTTCCAATGCCCTAGTTGGCGACAATAGCTGCAGTTGCCTTTTATATTTTTAGACTTTCCTCTATTTTTGTTTTTGCCTTTTTCAATTCCTCTACCTCTAACAACCAATGCACCTGATTGATTATCATCCCAATTTTTAGACACATTTTTCTTCAGTTCCTTGGAATTCAAAGACGCCTTAACATTCCAAAGAAATAATGTCTCTACCATATAACATAGTATCAACAAAGTGTTCATACGAACGAGGTAAAGAACACAACAAAATTAATGTTTGATCATCATCATCAATTTTCACATCAATATTCTTCAAATCCAGAATAATTCTAGTAAATTCATTAAGATGACTTTGAATAGATGTACCTTCTGACATGCGAAGAGTGTACAAACATTGTTTCAGATAGAGCCGATTGGTGAGAAACTTAGTCATATACAGACTTTCAAGCTTAAGCCACAACCTAGCAGCAATAGTCTCATCAATAACCTCACGCAACACCTCGTCTGCCAACGACAGCTGAATAACACTGTTTGCCCTTTCTAAGAGGTCTTCTTTCACATCATCAGACAACATTGCCGGCAAAGCCTCCTTGCCCTTTAGCGCCTTAAGCAACCCTTGCTGAACTAATAGGGCTCACATCTTGACACGCCAAAGATTAAAATCATTCTTCCCGTTGAATTTTGCAATTTCATACTTTGTCATCATTGTGGATGTCATAAGTCCCAAAATAATTTGACAAATAAACCAAAGCTCTGATACTAGTTATTGTGCCAAACGTCAAATTAAACAGATTCAAAACTAAATATGAATAATAGAAAAATCCAAGAGACAAAAGGATTTAACGTGGTCCGGCTTTTGGCCTACGTCCACAAACAGAAACGGAGAAAAAATTCCACTATAACCAAAGGAGATTACAAAAGTTTGTCAAATATCTCTCACCACCTAAATTCCGAATACACCCAAAATCTCTCAACCCAAAAGCAAGCATACGAAATATCAAAGAATAAATGTAACACCCTGAAGAATTAATTGAGATTAATTAAGGTAATAGAGATTATTAGTGTGCCTAATCTGGATTATTAATTGAGTTTAATTAATAAATGTTTCTGACACGTGTGAGTTTAAATAGTTTCAAGGTATTTAAATTATTCTCAGTAATTTATTTTAACCCAGAAGTGTGTATGGGCGCATTTCTGGACTGTTCTTTTAAAATATTGTACACATGTCCTTTTCCTTTCCTTTTCCTTTTCTTTTCTTTTTCCTTTTTCCTTTTCTTTTCTTTTTCTCTTCCTTTCCTGTGCGCCTCTCTCCCTCACACACTCTCTCTCTCACTCTCCCGTTCTCTCTCTCACTCTCTCTCTCTCTCATTTTTGTCCCAAATCAAACGGATCTTGAACCAAGGAAAGATTTAAAGAAGTTTTCAACGTCAAGAGAAGGATTCGAGGTAAGATTACTGAAAGAACCTTTCTTGATTTTCAAGTTTTTAAATTTCAAAACTTATTTTTGGTTCAAACCGGATTTTGATGGTTTTTGAGTAAAACTGGAGTAGAAATTGGAGGTCTTAGGTTCTTTAGACTTGTTTTAGGACCTAGAACCCAGATCTAGTGGTTTCCCTTTGAAATATCTCGATTTGGGACTGGATTTGCAGGTTTTGAACTGATTTCTGCGAGCTTCTCTCGCGCAGCTGATTCCACCAGTCGATCTGTGTGGTCGACTGGATCACATGGAAACCGGTTGACCTATGCGGTCGACCGGATTGCA